CGGGTCCTTCATAGGTGTCGACTTCTCTTGGTGAACGGGAGAGTCTCCGAGGAGGTCGTTCCCAGAGGACCGTTTTCGCCCATTGGGAGAGTTGCTGTCCATGTGATTGGCAAACTCTTCACTTATAAATGCATGCAGTTCTCCTAGGTTCCGTCTACGACTGGGGGTGCTGTGCATGTTATGGGAGGGGGAGGTTGGGGTGCGAAGTCCAAAACTGGCCATGGCTCCATTCAACCCTACAAGAACACAGGGACAAGAATACAAAAATTTGTTTAAAAAGTTGTACATTTCAACTATTCAGTTGCGACTAATGAACTGAAAGAAAACAGTCTTCATGATCATGTGACTTACAAAACAACATGTGCCTAAATTAAGCCCTTTAACATATGATAGCTATATAGCAGACATGCAGACGCAGGTATGAGCAATAAATGGTTAGAAATTGTATTAGCAATTGAGGAACATTTTCTTCATAAACCCTTGACTTTGTCCCTGCCCTACTACAGCTCGAGCTAAAAGTAACTTTCCAACCCCGAAAAGTTTCAAGTGGTCTATAATGTGCAATCTGGAGAAAGTATTTGCAAATAGCAGGTAGGAATTTTGAGCTGTGTATACACGTTTCTCACCTTGTAAGGCTATGGCATCCTTAAATGGCTGTAAATCTATTTCGGACTGATGTGAAGGTGCGTATTCCTGGCTGCCGAGGCGGGGGCTCTCCCGTGCACTGCGGGGCGGGCTGCGGGACCCAGTCCGCGACGGCACAGTCTTTCCACACAGAAAGGCTAGCAGTTCTTCCCTGCGGATGTGGCGACGCCGTTTCTTGGCCCAGGCAACAACGTCCCGCGTCCGCCGCTGGTATCCACACTGAATGCCAAAGTCCTCAGACCGCTTATTGGCATCTATGCTATCTGTAACACCCATTTGTGGTGTGACAAAGGTTAGAACTGTGCAAACACAAGTCCAGTCAAAATGTCTAGATACTTATATGTAACAAGAATGTAATGAAACATGGAAACAAAACAGTGTTACAAAAAGAAGCAGTTTCAAACCTCAAACTTACATGTACCTACACTGGATCCAAATATATGCCTTTGTACACAAATACAAATGACTCAAACTACATGTCCAAAGTCAACAGCCAAAGTAAAGTACCAAACAAGTACAAAAATCAACAAGAAAAGCTATGTAACAGTTGCTGTGTAGATAGACCATACCTTTGTACAGGAGGGTGACAGCCTGGGCTGCGTTCTGAAACACCTGCCACACATGGGAGCCCTGCCCACGATCTGAGGGGACAAATAACAAAACATGTCAGGGCTTATAATGCATTAGGTACATAGAAACAACACAGCTTACATTAACTCACTCACATTTACTATCAACATAATTTCAGAAGACAAGTCTACCCTTTGATTAACAGTAACTACATGGTGCAAAATACAGTAAGATCAAATAATACTTAAATTCCCAAAAGCTGTATAAGTCTAGTTTTATTTTGGCATTTTTACTGTAACTTAATTATGAGCAGACTCACTAGGACTGAATTGGTTTGATGTAACCTACAAGCTGGATGTAGCGCTGTATTTTTTTATTCACATGAGAGAATGTCAGTGTAGAGACTCTGATATGGTAGAACCTGCACCTGCAGCTAGAGGCTGGGATGTTACACAAGCTTCGAGAAAGCCTACTCAGTACTGTATTCTAAATCTTGGCAATGTTCTTTTTTTTTACCAAGGTTTCCTTTCAAAGCATCCATTAAGGACAACAGGATGTGTATAAAAGAAAAAGACATGTCAAGGACAACTTCATAGCATGTGAAGTTTTGAAAGAATATGTTCTGCTGAGCTTTAAAATTGTAATTTAATTAATAATAATTAAAGTAACGCCTGTCAAATGACACTTATTATCAAGTAAAATAGGGTTAGTTTCTGTCTGTTTCAAGCAAATGTAGAAGCATTACTACTAGTGTTGTAAAACAGATGCAGCCACATTTCTGTGTGGTGCCTTACATGTTATGTTTATGTTGTAATGTGGTAAACAACGGTTAATCATCAACCCATTGCTGTGGTGCTATCTTTGGACAGAACAAGTTGGAACTTGATGGTAGAATTTAACAAAAACAAAGTTCTAGAAAGATAAAGACAACATATTTTTGTACCTAGGCTATTGTATGTGAGACAGCTTATTCCAGTTTGTGAGAATCTACATTAGATAATGGCTAGCATTGATTAAATGGTTTGTTTCTTACCAGTCGTCTGATATCTATAACAATTTACATATAATTTTCATGCCTTTCTGTCTGGTGCCATCTGCCTACTTTTCTTTCATTCTATGACACTACCGAGCAGTGCAGACTCTACAGACAGAACTGATTGCACTTCATTATGACACACCAGTATTTGGTTGTGTAATTTGCACTCAAAAATTCCACAAATGTTTTAACTATAATATTACAAGTCATGTCAAGATATAAAGGTGTAGCTTTCTCCCGAAATTTGTACCACATGAAGAGATACTAGTTGTCTATATCATTATCAATCTACCTTAGATTTATGGATGTCTTGCGTTATACTGTTTGCTGCTATCTGGTCCCTGCCCTCTTATGTGTGTGTGTGGTGGGG